ATGGATGACAAAAATCGTTGACAACATTTTCAATAGGGGCGGCAGAATTATTTCATCGGCAATTCCATTGTGCAGTTAAGTTAAAAAATCCTTCTAAAAATAGTTGTTCATTCCAGCGAATAAACAAAAAATGCCGCAGTGGGATTCGCCATTGCCTTTTCCGCCTCACCCTGTGTCGCTGTCGTCATCCTCCCTCGTCAATCGCCTCGTTAGCATCATAGCTATTTTTTTAAAAAATTAAATCTCATTTTGGTTTAGATGGTCAATTTGTTAAAAAAGTTGGCATAAAATATCAATTTTTTACTACTGTATATTAAAGAAGCTAATATATATACTACTCCCTCCGTCCCAAATTATAATGCATGTTTACTATTCACAGGGTCAAATTTTATTTACTTTCTTTCTCTATTTTCGTTAGCAATTTGATAAAATAAAATATTATTGTCACTACTAGTTTTGTAGATCTTTTGATGTAGTTTTTTAATATGTATTTTTATTTTTTAATTCTATACCATTTGTCATATAAAATGACTTGAAAATAGTTTCAGTCAAACATCGTAAACCGAAACACGCGTTATAAAATAGGATGGAGGTAGTATTTGAAAAGGGCACAAATTCCGTTGTCAGTGGCAAACGGTGCCATTGCAGTGCTCCATTAACAACATTTATGGTTTCTATCCCCTAACACTGTGTAGAGTGTAGACCACCACCCCATCCCTTTCCCTGCCCCCTCAGCCTAGCCCCTTCCCCTCCCCTAATCACTGAATAGGCATTGCATCAACTAAGGGGAACGGTTAAACATCATCAATTTCACGAACGAAGTAACGTAGTGGTTAGTGGAACCATTTTCCAGTAGCAACGAAGTTTCTTTAATATTTAGAGGGTGTTTGACACTGTATTAGAGAGAAAATTCTACAATTAATTTTGTGTGTTTGACAAATCTATTTCTACTCATGCCTTGTGGTTTTAGAATCTAAAATGAGCTTCAAAACGGCTTTTCGTGAAAGTTGGGATGACATTTTAAGTTATGTGTTATAACCTCTACTTTTTGAGGAATTCACCACAGTTAAACCGAGATATGCTACTTGTACACCAAAGTTTTGCACAAGCACAAAACGCAAGTGCAATAATGTCATTATTATTTTACAAAACTCAAATGCAACACTAGCATTTTGCCAGTGTTGCAGTTAGATTTTGTGTGAGTGCAACATAAATATGGTCAGGGCAGTTGATACAGGCGAGGAGACATCTCTGTGAAGAAGAAGGAAGTCTCGAGGCTCGTAACAGAAAGGAGAGAGAGATGTTGAGAGAGGAGAAAGTTTTGGAAAGAAATATCTTCTTGTTATTGTTATTGGTGATAAGGATAGTATTTAAAGAGTTCCACACACTTCCAACTTACATGTCGGAAATATAACAAGGTAAAAGTATAGAGAAAATGGCTGAAGCATTATGACTGCATCATTCCTTCCCCCTTAGCTAAAGCTTTGTCCTCAAAGCTTAAATTCTGGAAATCTTTGTGCAAAAACATCCAACCATCCTCATACTAGGTAACTCTCCTCTGAAGACTTTAGGCTGAGAAGTAGGATATACTGCCTGACTTTTGTCTTGAGTAGATTGCACACTAAGCTGTTTGTAGGGTTGAAGTTTAAGCCAGGCCCAATTTCCACATACCAACTCTTTGTCAGATCTGTGTGAGTTGGATAGTTGCAGCAACACGTGTCTCCTGATTTTGAACACTTCTTTCAAGTGATTGTGATGGGATTTCCATATGGGCTTATACACCATGAGATCATAAACAATTATCAACACTGATTCCATGAGATAGGACTTCTGGGTATCTTGGCTTCCAATCTTTATCTGGTGGTGTCCCACTCCTAAATTCATCTTGCTCAAGACAGCTTTCCAAACTTATATGGGAATCTCCAAGAGTTGAAATAGACCTAGGTAGAGCCATCATTCTTGCAATCCTGCCAAACTAAACCCCTCCTCACAAAGACAGAAACCCTCATGTGCACTTTTCCCCAGCAGTGCATACTTCTAAGCATTATCAATATTGCTTCTCTTCTTGCTTGGCCTGGCACATGTGGGGAATGTTCCCACTGCAGCGCATCACATACCACTGCCACTATCTCAATGTACTTCTTAACAGTGCCTTGTTGTACATTGGTTTGCAAGTAGGGATGCAGCTCAGGCCATATCCAATCTCCCGATGCCAACTCCTTGTCAGATTTGTGTTAGATGGCTAGGTGATGTCTTCTATTCTGATCTCCTTGCCACTGATATCTTAGTAGTCTAACCCTTATCTCCCTCTGCTGTAAGGGTTTGGCTAACAATTTCCTTGGATTGTGGAAGCTTCTCCTGCACCGGAGGTAGGTTTCCAAACCCTTGCTGATCACTCTAGTAGGTCTCTTCAATTGGGAGTGATGGGAAAGAAACTTAGCCAGCCCACCCCATGAATCACAAGGCATCCTTGAGCTACTACCACAACAGTGCAAGGGTGAGTTAGTGTCATAAATTGAGCACACCATTGCCTAGCAAACACCACTGCTACTGCCCATAACTCCTCACGGCTGGGGGTTGTCCAACCATTTAAAACTCTCATCTTGCTTGAATCAGTAGGTATCTCCAACAGCCCTTTGAATCACAGCAGGTTATACTCGTGTTATTGCCACCCCATGTTTCATTTCTCTTAGAACATGACTACTACCTCTCCATGTGAACTCTATTTCTAGCTTGGTGCAGTCCCATTTGTGTCCCCTTTCAAAGAGCTTGTCATTAAAATAGCATAGCCTTCATGCAACTGGAATACTCCTTGTACTAGCTAGCTACACTTGCAGCAAGTATTCACTCCACTCCAACCCCACTCGGTACGAACCTTTTTATCGATAAACTGACAGACTTAATTGGGGAAATAGGAAACCAAGCTCTGTTGCTATTCGATAGTAGCTTAATCACCCGGTCTTGCTATTCTTCTATTGCATCTGGAATAAGCCTAGGTGTTGAAAATAAGGCCTTGCTGATGCTGATTATTGACTTAACTTGTACTGGTTCCTCTTGGTAGCTCGTATACTCTCCAGCTTCTGCAAAGGGTCCAAGATTAAAGGCCCTCACATTGGCCTCATAATGAGGCATGATTCATCCTACAGAACCATCCAACACGTGTTGCTCTAGCAGCAATGGCTTCTTTAACATCATACTAGCTCTCAGTGTTTTATGCTCATCAACATATTCCAGGCATTCCATTTGATGCAATCTGCTAGACTAAACTATTTTTAAACCTATATCATTTCCGAATCTGGAATTAGATCTTCCACAAAACCCTCCCAATTAAAGCTATGTTTTGATTCTTGATCATCACATAACTATCGAACCATAATTTGGCTTTTCCAATCATATACACAGAAGCTAAATGTACTTTTTTCTCTTCCAAAATCTCACACAGCATCAACGTATTTTGCACACTTTCTAATCCAAAGTTGAACATCTGTTCCATCAAATTGAAGAAGTACCACCATAGTATTGAAATTGAGTAGTCTATGATTACCTTCATCTATTTTTCTGATCCGTTCTTGCTTGGAATTGGGGAATGTTTCTGTGTCCAATCTCTTCATCCACTGTTGTTTAGAATCAGACGATCCTCCATGAAGCCTCCTTATGCGTTCCATTAACTGTAGATTCAATACCTTTCGTAGTTTCATCAACTAACTGAATTGATCTTCAATCTTCTTGTTTTGTTCCAACATGTGGAGATTAATCGATCTTTGTTGCTCGATCAACTTTTTTAGGGTTTCTAAAGATGCCATCTTCTGCGATTGTTTCCCTTCGCACTATCAGCACTATCACTGCCCATAACGAGCTGCTCCGATAGCAATGATATGGGTGAGGAGACTTCTCCATGAAGAAGGAAGTCTCTAGGCTTGTAAGAGAGAGGAGAAAGTTTTGAAATTGTTATAAAATGAGATAAAAACTAATCAGAGATTATGAGAATAGATATAATATATTTTTGATTTCTTCTGTCTATTAATTCTTCACTCTTCTTCTTATTCTTAATGGTGATTACAATGCAGGGATTAGGTCTCTATTTATAGTGGAGAGCCTTAGCATGGATACAAATACAAGTGGGAAGTACTGTACATAATTGATACTCATCAATGAGTGTCTTAATCTACTATTCTAGAAATTAGTCCTGATTAATTGAATAAATAAACAATCATTAATTTCATAACACTCCCCCTTGAATTTTCATTTTTCAATTAATGATGAGTACGTCGTGAAATGGACATAGTTTAGTAACCCATTCTAATTTTATGTACTGCCTCGTTAAAAACCTTGTCAGGAAAAACCCAGTGGGATAAAAACCTGATCAAGAGAAAAAGAGTACAGTTCATAAAATTCTTCCCCTCAGCTTAGCATAATTGACGGAGGCGACGCATGCCAATCTTGTGTACGAGTTCTTCAAATTTCTTCGGGGGTAACGCTTTTGTAAATAAATCAGCGAGATTCTCACTCGACTTGATTTGCTTGATGTCAACTTTTCCATCTTTCTCGAGATCATGTGTTGAGAAGAACTTTGGTGATATATGCTTTGTTCGGTCTCCTTTGATGTAACCTCCTTTCACTTGAGCAATGCATGCAGTATTGTCTTTATATATAGGAGTCGGATGACTAGTAATTGTTTCTATACCGCACCCACTCTGGATATGTTGGATCATTGATCGCAACCATACTCATTCTCTACCTGTTTCGTAGAGAGCTATCAACTCCGCGTGATTTGATGATGTGGCAGTCAAAGTTTGTTTCATCGATCTCCATGATATTGCGGTATCTCCATAAGTAAACACATATGCTGTTTGAGATTTTGCTTTTTGCAGATCAGACAAATATCCTGCATCAGCGTATCCAACAAGAGTGGCCTTGGCATCTTTGCGGTAGAATAAACCAAGGTCGATGGTACCATTGAGATATCGAAAAATGTGTTTAATGCCATTCCAATGCCTCCTAGTCGGGGTCGAGCTGTGTCTGGCTAACAAGTTCACTGAGAATGCAATATCTGGCCGAGTGTTGTTTGCTAGATACATCAAAGCTCCAATAGCACTCA